GACAATGCAGCAGATCCGAGCTCGCCGGACACAAACGACGAATCGGAGCAGCCGCCGCCGACGGGCTGGAGAATGCAGCGGATTGGGAGCGAAGGCGAGAGAGACCGAGCGTCTTCTTCATTCTTGACGAGCCGGGGAAGCCCAAGAATTTTGAAATATTGGTGAGAACGCTGAGATCCGTCCCCGCGGGACCCACCGCTGACGGGCTCCACGTGTCACTCGCTGAACGGAGAGGGACCATGGTAACGTGGTGGAGCGGGACTACCTGATATTTTCTCGCGAATGCTATGGACATCGTCCCACACGCCCAATGACATGGGTGTTCATGCGTGAGTGACGTAATAAAAAGAGGAAAAAAGATGGTTTATCTTGTCGGTATCACAAAAGATTTCGACTTTTGTTCATTTGCCATACCAGCAAGAAACTAAATAGAGGGAAAAAAAATTGCAAATTTCTGCTGTATGATTTTCAACTTCAAAACTTTTGTCTATAATTCATCCGAAATGAGCATTTCCTTTGTAAAAATGTATTAATTAATAAATAATTGAGCAAATAAAATGTTATCCCAAACTTCCGCGTCAGTTATAGATAGTAAAAGCTTAGCCTATTAACAGATATTGAGTTCTAATTAAAGCTGATAGTATAACATATTCCGTAATTCTTCTCAATTAGAGATACCTTTCCTAACTCTTTACCTACAGTAGTAGTACTCCGACGAGACCGTATTTTTATGTATCTATCGAATTAGCGGTGTGGAGGATTTAGTGAAACATAATTTACTATAGTGATTAAATGTTACAGCAATTTACAAATTCCTCTCTAAATCTTATATTGTGTCAACTCTTCTTAGTGATGCGCAAGATAGCAATAGCCTAAAACATACTCATATAAAGGGACATACAAACTACAGCATTAGTTATGATGTCATGGAAGTGGCTGAGAAGATGGTGTAGACTATCACGAATGTGCCGATGATCTCCGTGCCCAGCCCAACGCGAGTCTTGTACATGGCGGCAAGCACATTGGCTTCGCCGCCGTACTGTTCGTAGCATGACTTCTGGAAGAGCTTGACTAGGGCGAAACCACATATGGCCCCCAATCACTAAGCCAACATGCACATTATGGCTCGCACCAGTGATACCTTCCGCGCTAAGAGCAGCCCGAATGTCACCGTCGGGTTGATGTGACCACCTAAGTCATTCATCAATCAAATCAAAGTAGAAATTTAAAAGAAAATGATCGGCTGATTTGAAAGGTTGAAATATATCACTTGATTAAGAAAAATAGACTGATGGATCATTTAAGATTCCGACGGTGCAGTAGACGAGGATGAAGATCATGCCACCGAAGGCCTGGGAGATCCATGCATCGAGTCGACGCCAACCTTTTGGGGGTCGGTCTGGCTATTGTACCCGATCACAGTCAGCATTGTGATGTAGAGGAAGAGGAGGGTGGTGATGACCTCGGCGATGAGCACTTGCCCAGCTCCACCGGGTCTATCAGTGGTGCCAGCGGCAGGTCATGGTATTCCTTGGTCGAGAATGAGCCATGCTTTGCCACTTCCTTCATCATGCCCGTGTTCATGGCGACTCAGAGAGAGAGAGAGAGAGAGAGAGAGAGAGAGAGAGAGAGAGAGAGAGAGAGAGATTTGATAGGGGTGTGTAGAGTTTTTCCTTTTTCCTTTTATTCTATTTGAGTAATGTTAATTTCATCGAAATTTATGCGTCAAGTAAAACAACAAATGATGTTGAATGCTTAAAGCTTATTCATAATATAACATATTATCACTCAATGAATTAATCTTTTATGCCATTCTCAATAAGCCTACCCTTAACCCTCATTTAGTTGATTACTTTCTGCGTAAATCAGTTTTGTGATCTCATAGAGTTTGTTAGAAATATACTCATAATCAGAATAACGAGATTATGATATGAGCGATTCAGAATTAAACAATATATTTCTAACAGAATTATTCAATTATGCATGTGTGAAATATTTGACACATATTTTTCTTTGAGTTTAATCATGATATTCTCCTTTGCATTCATCTGCAAGTGTTATTACATTTAGAACAATTTGTAGAATAATTTGATTGCGCGTTTCAGAAATATAATAAATGACAATTAAATTATCTAACTTTGTTTGTATAAATAACAATCAAATTCTCTCTCTCTCTCTCTCTCTCTCTTACTTTTTTAGTTTGCTGCCGTGATCTTGATCCGTTAAGTCATTAGACAGCATTATTAAGCTTAATTCCTAATTGCCTGCGCATAGATGTTAAAGACGGACAATAGCATCGAGTTTCGTAACCTTTTTCCGTGTAGTTTTCTCGCAAAATTTGGGAAGCACCGTGAAAAGAAACGAAAAAACCGGTCAATTCGGCACGAGATTGCTTTTATCTTGCGAGTGATTTTCACTTGCATCATCAAACTTCAGGTTGCCGTCACCCGATCCATCAATCAAATTCGCTCATTGCGTGGGTTCTTTGTTAGTTTTCGTGCGCGACACCTTTGCCAACGGGAGCTAGACAGCTCGGAAGAAGCTAAACGTTCGTCTTCTGATAAAATAACAGGGTTCATGCATGCAGTGAAAATCGATTTCTTACGTGTACGTGCCACGTTATCTTTTGTCTTGGGGCAACTTCTGTGTATATTCAGCTTCGTGAGCAGATGTGTAAATGCTATCGGCTGTGAATAACTTTAGCAGGCTTTAATGATCGGTGTTGCTCGTGAAGTCTCAACTCTGAGTTCAGGCTAGAAATCTGTCGTCACCGGCTCCATAAATAGCAAAATCTATGATGTTCCTCCTCTAGTGACAGTGAATACAACGTCCCTAATTAAACCACACGATCAAGGGTACCAAGTTACATGTCGAGCTCGCTCATTTTGCCGTCTCGAATATTAAAGCACCAATATAGAATGTATCATCTTATCGCGCCAGGGGAAAAAAACTAATCTCTCTAGTATCCCTTCGCCCAAAGACATTATTGATGCAACAACATGTAATAAATCCAATTTCCACAATCCTTAATGCTCAAATCATGCATTCGCATTTCTTTACATAGTGTCCGACGACATATTCTAGTAGGTGTCACGCTAATTGATGCATCCCTAAGTGATCAGTTATACTCATATATTTGCTGAAGAGGTGCATGCAGAGCTGCAGGAGGCTAGCAATTCCATTAACAAGTTGTTAGATCTCAACATGGAGATATCATCTTTTCCACAATTCGTTAGGTAATGTCACTGTGTTTTTACGCAATATCTAGATGTTAAACATAACTAATGAGTCTTTTTCTTCCCTGGTTTTGAACCGAACATCTATATCGACTTAAATCGTAAAAAAAAAAAAATTAACAGCTTGATGCGATCATAGAAATAAACTGATCTAACAAAGTTGAACAGAAACCACGCCTAAGCATGCAGATAAATCATGGTCATCCATGGGCCGGTCCATTGCAAATTTTTTTTTTAGGGCAAGCATAAACACTTTTGCTCCGGTGTTAGTGCAGTTTTGATTAATAAAGCCCGCCAATTTTAGATTTCTCTATAGTTTTATTTTGGAAGCGAAATGGTTTATGTGGGTCAAATTGTGCTAACAAGTAACAAAGCCTTTAACTTCGTGAAAAAAAGAAAGAAAAGAAAAATAAAAAGTTCAGCCCCGAGTCAATCGTACATGTGGATAAGTCTCCGAGTCGATTATTATTTACACTGATGATCTGCCAACGACACTGACAAAGATGCATGCCTCGATCACCCGAAACACGCACGCGATTTCAACACCACGAACGGGCGAACATAACAAATCTCTCCAACTTCTTCCACGTTCGGAAAGGAAAATGGGGAGTGAAGCTTATTTGAATGGACTTGTCAGATAATTGGGAGGGGATATGTGCACTAAAAGTTCTAAAATTTATCACGAAAGTACAATTGAGTCTTAAAACTCACAAAAAGTGCAATTAAAAACTAAAATTTGTCAGAATGGTGCAATCGAATCCTTCCGTTAACTCTGTCCTATTTGGCTAATGGAAAATATTGACGTAGCTTTTTTTAATATTTTCTCTCTCCTACGTGGCGATGACATGCCTAAAACACGGTATACAAAGCTAAACGATGTCGTTTTGGTCCAAATCTAATTTTTAATATAGGCGATGGTGGGGCAGCGACGGCGAGGGCTGCAAAGCGTTTGCCGCCTAGTTCTCTTTCTCCTTATTTATTTATTTATTTAAAATTTAATTTAAATAAAAATTGTATCAAAAGTCAGATTTGGGCTAAAATAACATTGTTTTAGCTATGTCATCATCACGTAGAAGAGAGAAAAGAAAAAAAAGTTACATCAGCATTTTCTGTCAACCAAGTTAGACGGAGTTAATAAAAGGATTTAATTGCATCAATTTTACAAGTTTTAGGACTTAATTGCACTTTTTGTAAGTTTTAGGACTTGATTGCAATTTCGTGATAAGTTTTAGAATTTTCAGTGAATATATCACTTCCTTTTTGTTATTTTTAGCTGAGGTGTGAGTGATATATGTGGGGTGGACGTCACGAGGTTCTTTCTGAGTGTGTTTGGGATCATGCTGGAGTTGAGGATTTCGTGTTACCCTGCTCTCGGATCGCGTAAATCTCATACGAGATATGTGAAATTCGATGATTGAAATGTGCCAAATCATGTTGTTATTCGCATGCATTCGAAATACCAGATGGGGTTCTTGCTGAGCTCGAATAACTTAAAGAGTTCGAAACACTTTGCAGATATGAGTTCGTTGCTTGTTTTCTCTTATATAAAGGCCGTGGGGTTTGCGGGGTCCATAAACCCAGAAAGTTATGTGAAAGGTTCATCAGGAAATCCTATCCCTGCCCCCAAAAAGAATAAATTAAATAACAAGATAAAACAAAGACAAATGTCTAAACGTATCATTCGTAGCACAATCCTGTACTTCCTTGTAACGCAATTGAGAACTGCTTCTCTCCCTAATTTTAAGGTAAAGCACATAGGAACACTTTCAATAAAAAGTAGCAGTATCATATACCCACAACTTCAGACTTGCTAATGGCAACACTCAAATCTGGTAGTAAGCGTATTAGGTTAAGTTGCACAATAGGAACTGCCTGCTTCTGAAATTAGTATATACTACATACACATATAAGCAAATATAGTCGAAATTGAAGAAAGAAAATTTCCAGCAGTTAAGGACGCAGAAGAACTCGTAAGGCCAGCTGCTCCAGCTTGTATCTCACTAACATATCACCATCTGACTGCAGAACCGGCGCGACCACATTATCTCTGGTGAAGGCAGTGACCTCGGCGGTGAAATCTGGCGACAACTTCATAGCTTTCGCGAGGTAATAAAGAAATTGGTGAAGAACGAAGCAATGGTATCATTGTTGATGGAATGTGGCCAAAACGAGATGTCAAAAGAGGTCCCTAACTATGACGGAGCATTCCAAGGATAACAGACCTTGAACTGTTCATCGAGCCTACAAGGACCATCCGGCGAAATCTTCCAAGTACACTGGGTGCATATATCCTGGTCTCTGCTTTGCACATATATATCAAACCATACAATTTGACCAGGCCATGCAAAGCTTCAAAAGAACAATGTCCCCCCCGAAGAATCTGGGTACAAATTCAGAATTCCCAACTACCCTTTATATGATGGATTCCGAGATCATCGTTCTTGGATTCACAATGAACCATTAGAGTTCCAGCCGGCACGTTGTTTTCGATTTTAACGTATGTCTTCATCCAAATACTTCCGACACAGCTACTTACGAATAAAGAACAAAGAAATATGATAGCTGATGTCTTCATCATCGTAGCGTACGTTGCTCCGATTAAGACCTGGTCATGGCAAAATCACGAGTCATTTCAGAAAATGTCCTAGAGGCATTTCAACAAATAGCATGTGCGCATTGAGACTACTAAGATCTGGTCACGACAAAATCATGAGCTATTCCAGAAATATGTCCTAGAGGCATTTCAACAATCAACATGCATGCATTAAGACTGCTAATATCTGGTCATGACAAAATCATGAGCTATTTCAGAAATATGTCATAGAGGCATTTCAACAAACAGCATGCGTGCATTGAGATTACTAAGATCTGGTCATGACGAAATCATGAGCTATTTCAGAAATTGTCCTAGAGGCGTTTCAACAAACAGCATTCATGCATTGAGACTACTAAGTTCTGCTCTTGACAAAATCATGAGCTATTTCAGAAATATGTCCTAGAGGCATTTCAACAAACAGCATGCGTGCATTGAGATTACTAATATCTGGTCATCACAAAATCATGAGCTATTTCGGAAATATGTCCTAGAGGCATTTCAACAAACAGCGTGCGTGTGCATTGAGACTACTAATATCTGGTCTCGACATTGAAACCGTTTCTCATCTAAGATCAGTATTAGAACAACAATGTGTCACGAGTCATTTAGAGAAGGCTAAGATAAACTCAGATTCTCAGTGATAATATATTCGAGCAACATGAACACATCTCGGTTTTGGTATATCACCGAAACAGGGGAGAGAGAACAGCAACGAAATAAATCACAAGAGTGTGATGAAGCCACGATTACTGACCGAATCAAGGAAGAGAACTTGGGTGTTCGTCCACAAAAGCTGCGATCCACGGTTCTCCGGGGTATCTCCGATGCCCCTTCAAATCTGAGGCTCGCTTGTGTCTCTCGAGCTCTCTTCCTCCAACCAAACGCGGTGTCAGAATGCTCTTAAATGTCTTGCCGGTACAAGAGATGGGCGCTCCAAAGGAAATCCCCATTCCTTTTTGAGTTCAAGTCTCACCTCAAGCTCTCAGTCTAGCGTTTAGATGCCCATTTTTGGGACTTCAAAGACTGTATCAGACCTCTGCAGACCTATCGGTCTCTGAAGTCCAAAAATGGCATCTAAAAGTTAGGATTTGAATTGGGCTAATTCGATCAGCCCTGCCCCCGCTCATCCAAAGAGAACCAGAAAGAACGGGGGGTTGGAGAAGATGGAGTTGACAGACTCTTAAAAACAGGACGGGAAGGAGAGACACCGAGAGCGGAAAGCGGGAACCATAAAATGAAATGGTGCACAGTCAAATAATAAACTAATAAATCAATGCTCGTGAAGTTCTCTGTCATGTCGTGCCCCTCCCCTCAGCACACCACAGTCACAGAAGTAAATTTCTTGCAAAGTGGGTTTGCTTCCAATAACAAAGGCTATGGTTAGAATAAGTTACATTAAATAAGCTGTAAAATTTAAATACAAACCTGCATATTTTAGTCTAGTTTTAATAAGGTTTGCGAAACTCTTTCATTCTTAGATAGAATCGGTTAAATTAAAAATTAATAATCATTTAGAAGTGCTTTTAGATGTTATATCCTCTTTTTGATGTTCGACGAAACGATACTTGTTGATGAACGCGAGACGCATGGCAAAGTCTTGTCAGGTTGCCTCTGCCACGTAACAAGCATAGATGTGAAGCAAGATGCAGACATGGCGCGCACAGAATAAAAATTATCCATTTTGTGCATTTGCCTTTAGACCTTTTATAATATAGGCTGATTTCATTTCATGGAAAATAATTATCAGGATAACGTTTTTCAAATTTTTCGGTGTTCAATGCTTCATGGACCTTTTTTAGAGTCTTGAGCTAGCCTACTGCCATTGAGATTCAAATAAATTAGCAGATTTGATTGTAAATGTCTCGAGATTTAAGGCCCTTTCACGTTATTGAGTTTTTTACCCACCATCCCCTCTATGGCAGATCTTGTGTTTTGATGTCCCTTATTTTAGAGGGCTAGTTCTTAAATGAAATGACAAGTCTCTGTTATGTCCAAAAAAAAAAAAACACTCCAGCCCTGCTCAAGTCTCTCTTCCTCATTTTTCTTCACCGACTCAACTTCTCCATGAAGCCTTCACAATCGCAGGAATTTGAGCTTGAAAATTTCAGGAGGCCTTTGAAATTCTCTCTCCTCTTTGTAATGGCACACGATGAAGGAGACACTCTAGCTCTGCTCAAGCCTCTCTTCCTCATCCTTCTTTGTCGACTCAACCTCTTGACGGAATGCCTCGGTATCGCAAGAATTTGAGCTCAGAAATCTTAGGAAGCCTCCAAAATCGTCAGCTTAGCGCCTTCAGAGCTCCTTCTCTTCATAGGAACATTGCTTGTATGTCCGAATTTCATAAGCTAATTGTGCCCTAATTCCTCGATTTGGAGGTTAGGTTTAACGAACATAGCCATTTTGCCACGTCAGACATTATATAATAAATTAATGGCACATCATAATGCCACATCGGATTTTTGGGCTACACCTGTATTTGGAATTATACGGGGCCTTTGGGCTTTCTTTGCATTTAGCTCTTTTCTCGGGGTAAAAAAAAACTATTGAGGTCATACCATTCATAGCCTAAAAGATGACAGTCGAATATACAGAGAATGTTAATCTATATGTCTATAATAGGTACCATAATTGTTTGAGTGGCATTAGTTGAGCACCAATCAAACATACAGCACTATCGTCCCCAGCGATTATCTCTTATCAATTTGCAAAACAAAGAAATCTCAAGCAACACTAGTCCACGATCTTTCTTTAACCTAAAATCAGTTGATTTGGTCGAGGTTGTTGCTCATTAGAGACCCTTTTTCCTTTAAAAGGCTTATTACCTACTATTGATATTAATTATAGGATTTAGTACATGACCCGAGTAAATGAGTTCACTGTTTTAGTTTGCATAAACAACCATTCCTTTCATATGCCTATAAACCCTCGGTTATGTTAGGTTTCAAAACCTCGAATCTACCCATTCTAATCATGCAATACTCACTCTAGATCTCTAAAGACTCCCTGGTTTTGACAAGCTAGGTATTGAGCTCAATAATAATACGATTGGAAAGAGGAAATAGCTTTAAATTGAGTGCCAAAATAAAAATGATTGTGAAGCATAGAAAAATCACTTAATATTTCTGGACGGCAGAGTGAAGTAAGGATACTAAAAGAAAATTTAAGGGGAATTAGAGTGGACTGTTGACATGAGGAAATCAGAGTCTTGAAATTGAATGCTAACCTTACATTGTCCCCACAGGATTAAATGCAATTGAAAATGCATCTGTAATTTCATCCACAGCATCATAAGCCCTGTATGAGCAATGTAGCTGCAATGTCAAGAGTACAAGTCAATAAAATTTCCTCTTTTTTTTCAAGACAATTCAAAACGAAGTTGCGCGAAGAAGATTGTAGAGGAGAAGCTAAGCGGTATGCAGACAACAGAGTTGCTACAAAGCATGTCTAAGATGTGTGGTAAGTTAGGGGTCCACAACTTCAATGTACCCCTAAACGATTATATGGCTTCTGTAAAGTCACCCTAGAGTTCTTGAAACCTCTAAACTAAACAATTCTGTTGTAGACAACTGTGGCAAGAGTCGACTTACAAATTCCTAAAAATCCTGATATGTCGACCACACATTTTCCCGTCAGAATTTGCCCTTCAACCGCTTGTCCATTCTCATGGTGAACACCAAGTTTCTTAACCATGGAAATGACCTCGCATATGAGTTCATCATCCCTGCAAAACAGGAAAAGAAGGAAAGAGGAAGATGTGAAAGGGAACATCTGGTCGGATAATGCACCTGGAAAAAGAACAGATGCATTGACTCTCTTCTTTATTTAATTTCATACTAGATCACTAGTGTTGGAATAATCAAAAGAAGCATCGAGGTCTTGATTTCGAGTTACCCGTTTTGGAATTTCTCCAATTCGCGTCCTTGTATTTTTGAAACACTCTGCAGAGCCTTCTTCCACTTGTTTATAGTCATTGATTCCAACCCCCTGGCCGCATAGTTCCAGTCCCTATCACCGCCGCCGCCTCCTCCTCCTCCGCCCGATCGCCGTCGCCGTCGCCGCCTTTTCCTTCGCTGGGTCGCCGCTGTCTTCTCGTCGTAAGTTTCTCCCTCTCATCTCCTGAGGAGGTTGCTGCGTTCTGTCATTCCCGCTCTTTTCATGATCTCTCCTTCTCTGCTTGCTCCAGTCCCTGTCGCCATCGCCATCTCCTCCTCCGCCCGATCGCCGCCACTGCGTCCTCCTCCGTTAGATCGCCGCCATCTCCTCAGCGTAAGTTTCTCCTTCTCATCTCCTGAAGAGGTTACTGTGTCTTGTCTTTTTTTCATGATTTTTCCTTATTTGCTTGCTCCAATCCCTGTCATCACCGCCGCCTCCTCCTCCACCCGATTGTTGCCGCTGCCGCCACCTCTTCCTCTGCTAGGTCACTGCGGAGCGTAAGTTTCTCCCTCTCATCTCTCGAGGAGGTTACCGCATCCTGTTATTCCTGCTCTTTTCATGATCTCTCCTTCTTTGCTTATTCCCTATCACCGCCGCCGTCTCCTCAGTGTAAGTTTCTCCCTCTCATCTCCGAGGAGGTTGCTGTGTCTTGCCTCATTTCATGATTTCTCCTTCTCTGCTTGCTCCAGTCCCTGTCGCCGCTATCGCCTCCTCTTTCGCTCGATTGCCGCTGCCGTCACCGCCTCCTCCTCCGCTAGGTCGCTACTGTCTACTCAGCATAAGTTTCTCCCTCTCATCTCATGAGGAGGTTGCCGCGTCCTGTCATTTTCGCTCTTTTCATGATCTCTCCTTCTTTGCTTGCTCCAGTCCTTGTCGCCGCTGCCTCCTCCTCCTCCGTTAGGTCGCCGCCGTCTCCTCAACATAAGTTTCTCCCTCTCATCTCTGAGGAGGTTGCTGCGTCTTGTCTCTTTTCATGATTTCTTTTTCTCTGCTTAGTCCAATCCCTATTGCCATCGTCACCTCCTCCTCTACCCGATCGCCGCCTTTGCCGCTAGGTCGCCGCCATCTCCTTAGCGTAAGTTTCTCCCTCTTATCTCCCAAGGAGGTTGCTGCGTCCTGTCATTCTCGCTCTTTTCATGATCTCTCCTTCTCTGCTTCTCTAGTCCCTATCACCGCCGTCTCTTCAGCGTAAGTTTCTCCCTCTCATCTTTGAAGAGGTTTCTGCATCCTGTCTCTTTTTATGATTTCTCTTTCTCTGCTTACTCTAGTCTCTGTCGTCATCGCCGCCTCCTCCTCCGCCCGATCGCCGCCGCCTCCTCTTCCGCTAGGTCGCCGCCATCTCCTCAGTGTAAGTTTCTCCCTCTCATCTCCCGAGGAAGTTGTTACGTCCTGTCATTCCTGCTCTTTTCATGATCTCCCCTTCTCTGCTTGCTCCAATCCCTGTCGTCGTCGCCGCCGCCTCCTCCTCCGCCCAATCGCCGCCATCTCCTCACCGTAAGTTTCTCCCTCTCATCTCTGAGGTGGATGTTCTGTCCTATCTCTCTTCATGATTGTTCCTTCTCTGCTTGCTCCAGTCCCTGCTGCCGCCGCCGCCTCTTCCTCCATCCAATTGCCGAAAAATGAGTGAAAACACGTTTGGTAATTTTCAGGGTTTTATCAACATAGTGTCCCTAATAAAGAAAGAGATTAAGATCTCAGCTGGTGCATCAGCTCATTGTCTCATCAGATTGAAGGTAGCTGCATTTATTAATGAGGGCTTTAGAGTATTCAATTGTGAAAGTTATTTGGTAACTTTCCCTAATTCGTGTAGGGATACGAAACAATATTGAAGTTGGTCATCCCAAGTGTTGAGACGATGGACAACAAAATAGAGCGAGTAGGGCCTGAGGATTATGGAGCAGCCTTTTGACCTAGACGGTAAGAGCAGCTTTTGCGGCAGCTACAACACCTTTAGCCGCCTCTCCTTCGATGCGTGGCAGCTCGACCACCACCTTGGCCACAGCTCCGCCTACGCCACCGAGGCTCACCGGTCCACCTCCCCCGCCGTGGCCCATCGGCCCTCCTCCGCCTTAATCCACTGCAGCCCGAGGCTTGGATTTCGCGGCTACCGGCTCCATAGCTGCATATGATCCGGCGCCGTTAGCACCATTTACCTCTGTAACCGCAATGGGGCCTCCGATGACGGAGAGCC